GTATGGAATACTGATGATAAAGGAGAATTTTTGAATGCATTAGAATCACACAGATCGAAGTTTGATGATATATTTAATAGGCCATTAGATAGTGTGATTGATATAAATGATTGTACCGAGGACCTATCTAATATTATTACTGATATTTCATTTAAAAGTTTTGGTAAGAAATCTTTTAAAAAGAGGCCTCAAAGAAAGAAATGTCTATGGTTCAACGTTGAATGCAGACAAGCCAAGTCTAATTTTTATAACTGTAAAAGAGCCTTTTCTGTAAATAAATGTGAAAGAACTAAATTTTTGTTCCTTCAAAGCAGAAGTGATTATATTAAAGTAAAAAATCAAGCAAAAAATAAATTTTATAAAAAAGAAAGGCAACAATTGTCTGAAATGAGCCGTAAAACGCCTAGAAAATTTTGGACATATATAAATAAATTTAAAAGTAAGCTAAATGTTTCGAATGATATAAAGGCAGAAGACTTTGTAAATCATTTTTCTAATATGTCGAGTAACGCTGAGTCGCCTCTTTTAGATAGTGATCAAAACGAAGGGCGTAGTATACCGGTAATTATAGAAGAACTTGATCGGGTTATAACGACAGAAGAAATTTTAAAGGCTGTTATGTCTATGAATAGAAATAAAAGCCCTGATATATATGATATTGTAGCAGATTTTTTCATTGATGCTAAGGAATTTATAAGTCCCTATTTATGTAAGCTATTTAATAGAATATTAGATACAGGTATATATCCGGAAATGTGGACAAAAGGTGCCATAGTACCGATTTATAAAAAAGGTGATAAACTTGATCCTGCGAATTATAGGGGTATAACATTAGTTAATATTATGGGTAAGATCTTTTCATTAGTTTTAAGAAACAGAATAAACAGTTGGTGCGAATCTCAAAACGTGTTTAATGATAGTCAATTTGGTTTTCGACAGGGACGGTCAACCACTGATGCAATTTTTATACTTCATTCTTTTATCAAAAAAATCTTAAACAAAAATGAAAAATTGTATTGTATATTTATAGATTACGAAAAAGCATTTGATGCAGTCAATAGTATGGAAGCCCTGGAGGGACATTTGAAATTAATATTTAAAACTTAAAACTTATTATTTAAAATTTAATTCTTGATATTTGAAATTTAATTTTTAATATTTAATACTTAAATCTTATTATTAAAATGGACGCGGGAAACAATTCCCATGACAGATTAATGGCACAAGAAGCGGCAGCGAGAATACGAGTTGCGAAGGAAGTAAAGTAAGTTGGACTTCATATACAAGAAAAACTGCTTTGAACCACACTAGGACATGCACACGCACTTAATTTTATGTCGATGACTGGCTTGGGCGGGTTTATCTATTTATTTGTTTTTGCAAAACAGATTGTAGGTGTTAAAGGTCAGAATTGGGCTTAATAGAACATAAAAGAACTTGGTACAATTGTTCACCGCCATGACAAGGTGTGCCGTAAGTAAGACCAATGCTCAAAGGTCAAAGTCACATTTAGCGGTCTTTTTATACCTACATTGACTAGTCCATTTTTGATGCTGTACTAAAATAAGCATTACAATCAAGTAGGCTGGACATGCTGCCCTTGGAGGTTTAGGTAATAGTAAATCTTGAATAAAAAAGCTTTGATTTTAAGACGAGTGTTTAGGGCCACTATCATCTTATTAGTATGATCGATCATTGATTTGCATAGGGAATTTATATTACCAGTCTTATAGGTTGTAGTAGTGTGCTTTTAAATGCCTGCAGTTTGCAAAAACCTTGCCACAGGTTTGGTAAACAAAACTGGGGTCCCCCTGGGCTCCTTGCCATTGGTTCTTTTTGCTGGGTCATGTGGGGGTTGCGTTCATTGAACGCCGCCTTTCCTTGTTGATCTTGTTTATCATATTTTAGATGCAGAAAAAAGGGACTTTCCCTACATCTAGCAGATTATATTCTCGAAACATAAAGTTTGTGCTCAATGAAAGTAAAATGATAAATAAATACAATGTCAAAGAAGTATCTATGTTGAAAGAAACCTCATTTTACCACAATTTATCAATTTAAAGGCGTTCTGAAATAAATTGCAACAACCCATTAATTGTACAGCAACAACTCTACATAGATTATTGACTGGTTTACAGTACTGCAACATACATTTAAACAGCTGATTTTATCGGTAATGATTGGGAATGTATAGCTGAAACTTTTAATTTAAGTTATAATATTTTCAAAGATTCTATTATTTATGTTGTTTGACATCAGTTATAAGGTATGTCCCTCTAAGGCCAAAATTGTATGAAACTGGTTCTTAATAAAACCTCTAATATATTTTAGGCAACTGCTGTGAAGAAAGACAGAGGACAAAGCATTGCATATAAAATGAAAATGGAATTGTAGAACTACCGAGATGGAAAGTACAGCGTTGATACTAAGTTAAAGGTGGATGAGCACGAGTGATGTATAACAGTATTACACATTTGGGGAACGTCTGGCAGTAGAAAGAATCAGAAATCAAGCGCTTAGTTACTATTCACGGGCGGAGAAAGTAACATGGACAGTGTGGAGGACAACGACTTCTCATTGGCTTAAACATCAGGACAAGTGATTGACAGTTATACTGGTGTAGACCAAAATCCATGCATTTTTTTACAGAGTATTTTTAGAGCTTACAGTTTTTATGCGTCACAGTGCCATGAGATAAATGAAGAAGGAAACAAAAAAAATATGATAAATGGAGTCCCTGTAGAAAAGGGCGACAGAACTATTTACATAAAGTACAGCAAAATTAAGCACTCATTATATTCTGAAGAACAATCTGAAGTATTTGCCAATCAATATCGCGGTGCTTTAATGCGTCTGGGAGTCCAGAAAAAAGAAAATTCATGAATATGATCCGTTTGAAGAAAGATGGGTATGTGGTTTCTAGAATGGAAGAAAAGAACACAGTCTTCCTAGAAAGAGATGAAAACGTTTATATTTGTCCAGAAGCTTCATCGCAGCAACATTTTGTATCGAATGTGTTTAAACAAATATTTGGTTTTTAAATTGATGATAGTAATTGTATGGTACTTGGTTTATCACAATTGTTCATAATAATAATTACATTCATATAAAACTATTTGATAAACGGAAATTTATTTTGCAGTGGTATCAATCGTTGTTCTGTTTTCGTGTGAAATTGTATGCAACAGGCATAAATACCGTAGCCCTCTGATAATTAGAAGCATACAAACTAATTTACACTTATATATTATGATGTGATTTTGATTATTATTATAATGTTTGCTTCTTAAACACTTTAATCAATGTAAAAGGTTAGTTTTTTTGTACCTGCCGAATGCTCAAAGCACATTTGTGGCATATGTTTATTTTTAGTGACAGTTCTTGTTCTATTTAGTTGAAAAATAATAGTTTTGTTGAGTTTGCCTAGTTCAGCCTACAGTTCTCATCCACATGGCTAAACTTGCTAAGTTTGTTAACTTCACCTGAAAACAGGAATCGTGTTATGAATACCCTTTTATTTTTATGTTGTATGCTGTAGGTAGTTATCCCTAATTGTTATTAATTGGAAGTTGAGACTGAAGCAATTGTAGATACCTTTGATTTTGTACTTTGATTAGTCACTGTAATTAAAGAGTAAAAGTTGTTACACTGACTTTGCTGCCTTATTTTTTAAAGAGGACTGTAATTATACTTTTCAACAAACAACTATAGCCTATTAATACGAAACAATATTATCATCTATACTTTTCTTGCTGCCATTTGACTTAAAATAGCGGTGCATAACTGAATGGTTTGCCTCCTGACTGCACAGTAAAATCAAAGAAAACGCATAATGGTCGTGGGAAATTAAGGGACATTTTCTATTTGATGGAAACAGTTAATTTGCGTTACTTTGGCAACAGTAGGATAAGGGATGATACCAAAGATGTCAAAAGACTGTACTACTATTTCTATCGCGGAACATCTTGCCAGATATCAATTTCTTGTAACCAACTGTTTTTAAAAAATGTCGAAAATGATGGGGTTTCTTGTCATTGTTTATTTCAGCTATTTTAGCTCACAAGAGTTAGATTTTTTACAATAAACGCAAAATAAACAAAATATAGTTTGTTTAAAAGCTTGGATCAAACAGTAGTATACAAAAGTTTGTTTGCCAGTTTATTTAAAACAACATTTTAGATGCATAACTCTTTGCATTTAAAACTGATCAGAAATGAAAATAAGATTTATCTTGATTCCTTTTTAGCTCAGCTCAAAGGTGAGCTTCTGTCATTGCCCGCTGTTTGTCGTCTGTTGGTGTGTTTCTCAACATTTCCCTTGTGAACACAATATAGGTCACATTTTGTATCCCATCTTTATCAAAATTGTTCAGAATGTTTATCTAATTGATTTTCTAGGTCAATGTTAAATCTTGGTTATCTGGGGTCATAAACTAGGTCACTAGTTCAAATCAAAGAAAAACATAGAGAACACTTTATATGCTGTATTTTCAACTTGAACAACTTAAAAGTTTATGAGAATATCTGTCAGTCGAGTTTGAATCTCGGTCATATGGCGTTAAAAGGTCAAAGCAAAGAAAAACATTTTGAGCACTACAGGTCTTTTTTTCAGTTGGAACAACTTGTAACTTTAACATAGATCATATATGTAGGTCAAAGTTGAAACTTGGTCTTTTATGGTTAAAAAGTCCTAAAGTTTTACCCCTTCTGGAGAACATTTGGCAAATTTTTAGTACTGCCTACTTAGAGCTCATAGGGTATATATTGTAATTTCCTATAAACAGTTTACTAAGATTTCTAGTAATGTTTACTCTAAGTCAGATTTGTCATGCAATCATCAATGTAGAATCAGAATGTTTCACGAGAGGTCTCGTCTTTAAGTCCTTTTATTATTTTTTTTCCGTTTGATTTATGACCTGTTCTAACAATAAGTAACGCGAACTCGAGATCGGCCTAGAAATTTTAACTAGCAGTTTAACATAAAAAACACATACTTCGGAAAACCATGAACATCAATGTTTATTCATTAAAAAGTATATATATTATTGTCTAATGTTCAATAATCTGGATTTTTTTTCATATTCAATATCCTACAAATCAACATTAACACCATACTCAGTAGAACCTGATAGTTCTAGCACATTAAACAGCATTTTATTTCTGGTCTTCCAGTACAAATGTCTACATGTTTCTGTGGTCATACATTGCGTATACAATGCCATAAAATCCCGCTTGAAGAACATCTGTTACATAAAATCGCAAGCATTGTGCATGAATAGGGTTTGACGTATCGATTCGTCCTCGAGCTCTCAAATCCTTCAACGTATTCATCCACCTTGGTACAATAAGAAGTCTCCGCTAAACTGCAATTATTTTTCTATTTCTTGTGGAGTATACATGACACGGTGACGCCCTGAATTATTACAACGGAGTATCCTCTTAAACTGACGAAGACCAAGACGTATGTTGTGGCGACAAAGGAGAAGTCACACAATTTCTGCGTCAATTTTCAGATGGCAATAGGGATGACACAACTGTTGACACAGGAGTCACTTTCAATAAAACGATAAGGCAAACATCAACGGGATCTCCATGTTTATGACCTTAAAAGAAAAAGAAATAAATGAAATCTAGCGTTATAAAAACAAAGGGCTGGGGCTGTAAACATGTAATATTATTATCTACCACCAACAAGTAACATTTTCGTTAGACCTGACTACCAGGTATATTTCTGTCAGTTTTAACGCTTCAACCAGAACAAAATGTATTGATAAACTTTCTCAACCGCTGCTTTTGACACCATGTAATCAATAAAATGTAAAGCGGCACCGTATCTGGCGTCTTTGATAAAACTAACATATCTTAATCGTTTCAACTGTTAGCATGAAAAATATAACAATCGAGATATAATAGTTCACGGAATGTTTATTGTATATATAAGAAATGGCAATTACCTGTAAGCAGCTACAACGAATTTGCCAGTTTTTCTTCGTGCAAGAGTCCCATGAGACCGTTGAATTCAAATACCCGCGTCTTATGTATTCTGATCTTAATTTTTAAGTATTAAGAATTAGTTTTTAAATATTAAGAACTAAATTTTAAATATTAAGAATTAAATAATAAGTTTTAAGTTTTAAATATTAATTTCAAATGTCCCTCCAGGGCTTCCATACAATAGAGACTTACTTTGGATGAAACTGATAGATTGCGGTATAAGTTGTAAAATTTTAAATATTATAAAGTCAATATATGCATCTGTACAATCTTGTCTAAAAGTGAATACAAAATTGACTGATTTTTTCGATGTAACCATTGGCTTAAAACAAGGAGAACCATTATCACCATTGCTTTTTATTCTATTTATAAATGATATTGAACAGTGTATTGATATTGAACAAATGTCAACAAAAGATATTGAATTGTTATCTAAATACATGTTGTTATTTGCAGATGATATTGTTTTGTTTACAACAGATATAAATAGTCTACAATCTCAAGTTAACTCAATCTCGAGATATTCCTGTAAGTGGGGTCTGAAAATCAATGTTGCTAAAACTAAAGTATGTGTTTTTGAAAAGCGAAAATCTACCACACATGTTAATATTACGATTAATGATGAAACTATTGAATATGTAGATACTTTCACCTACTTGGGAGTAAAATTTTCATATACAGGTGATCTTAAAGTAGCCATTAAGGCTCTGTCTGAACAAGCTTTAAAGGCATATCATAATCTTTTATCTTTATTTGATAGAGTTAAATTTGATATAAAAACAAAATTAAAACTTTTTGATAGTATGGTAGTACCAATATTACTGTATGGTTCAGAGATCTGGGGCGCTTTTGATTGCAAAGAAGTTGACAAATTACATATTAAGTTTTGTAAAAACATTTTAGGTGTTAAAAAACAAACTCCGAACAACGCAGTACTCGGAGAACTTGGTAGATTCCCTTTAACAGTTTTATGTCAAGAAAGAGCATTAAAATATTGGATAAAAATAAAGAAACAGTCTATACCAGAACTGTTTAGTGTATATAGTGATCAAGTACATAACTTTAGAGGATCTTCTTGGGCTAAAAGTATTCACAATATAATTAATAACTTAGGGTTTTCAAATTGTATAGAGAATTTTGAAAATAATTGTAACTATATTGTATTATTCAAACAACGTTTGAGAGATCAATTTGTGCAGAAATGGCACGAATCGATTGAATTAATGCCAAAACTCGATTACTATAGAATGTATAAAAATGATTTTTGTTTTGAAGATTATCTTAATATTGTTGATAATAGTAAATTAAGGAGACAACTTTCAATTTTTAGGTTAAGCTCTCATACATTAGAAATCGAAACTGGAAGATATATAGGGGTTGAAAGAAATGAGAGATTATGTAAATTTTGTTCTCAGCAAGCTGTTGAATCGGAGTATCATTTTCTTTTATGCTGTCCATTATATAGAGATTTAAGAATCAAATACAAATTGCCACACACTTTTCCAAATCTTAATAAATTTTCTAGATTAATGACAAATTCTAAAAGAAAAAATCTATATCATTTAAGCAAATTCTTAAGAGATGCATTTGATAGAAGAAAGGAACAATTATAAAATAAATATTAAAACAATCTTAGATCTTTGCTATGATTGGTATTAAATTGTCGATATACTAAAAATAATCTTAACACAATATATGCATTGTTATGTATAATGTTCATTCAATGTATGTTTGCTTTTGTTAGATTTATTATTGTGTGTTTGCCATATGTATATTTATGTTTGTATTGCCAAAGGCAGATATCTGCCGAATTGCAAATAAAATTTTGACTTTGACTATAATTAACAAAACTTTATAAACATAATAACATGATATAGGTTCATGAGCTTGAAATAAAGTCTGTACAAAGACTTGTTATTTTATATCAAACAAGAACTTCGCGAGTCAGACGTGTCGCCTGACAATAGCATAAAAAGTTATGTAGACTATATAAGCAAATAAGCAATTAGCAAGTAAGCAAATTGGTAAAACAGCAAATTGGCAAATCAGCAATTAGCAAATAAGCAATTAAGTAGTTGGCAAATAAGCAAAGTGGCATGTCCCTACCGGCATTCCATAATCTACCGATGATTTAATTGAGTACCTACTTACCTGATGTCTTATCAAAGGACGCCGGTCTTATCTTTGAGGCAAAGAACACAAGACATCACCGCCATATTAGTTATGCTGTTCCATTTTCTCTGCCCGATATATTGCGTCAGTGCTTTACTGTCAGCACCTTTGACTAAAAGAGGGGCTCTTTCTTCGATCGTAGACAGAGGATGTATATATACTGCACAGTAAGCTTAAGCCGATTGAGGCTTATCTCATTTTGAATAGTTAATCTTGTCTATTTGATTATATTATTATTACTGTGTGCTATATTTCAGATAACAAAAAGGGCACGTAAAATGCTTCTTAAGACTGTCATACTGCGACACATTCTCGGTAACCAAGACATACATGTACTCGTTACGTGTACTATTATCAGAGTTCTTCAATTGTGAAATACATGTCCATTTGCATTATTGTCCGTCCGATAAATTATATAAAGCTTTAATGCTAAAACACCCATCACTTTCTGTGCAAGTCCTAGAGACGCTTTTCAATTTTGTAACCTTGACGACCTTAACCACTCGGCCACAGAAGAGCGTTGTTTCTAAATGCACTTAATAAGGAGGAGACTAGAAGGCAGCATCTAGCACATATTTAAAATTTAAAACTGTTTTAACAAATGTTAATTTCATCATCATCATCATCATCATCATCATCATTATTATTATTATCATCATCATCATCGT